ACTTCCTAGAAATTTAGGAAATCGTATGTTGTTATCCCACTGGCATGGGACTATTTGTTCGTCAGAGTGCTTGTTTCAGTGATTGAATTTAGTGAAATGTGAATTTGACGTCATGATTTGAAGGTGAACTCGTTTGAGTTATAAGAACATATCCAAACCCTGAAATAACACTTCGAACAATAAGCCAGTGTCATCAGTGTGCATTTACACAGCAATTACAAATGTATAATGAAATGAGATTAATGTTTTATACAATATTTTTAATACAGAAATATGAATAAAATTAAATGATACTTGAATTATGAAAGTAATATGGCCACTAGGTGGCGGTAAGTCATTTTGTTAATAAAGGAGCCTTTTATTCAATAAATTCGTTCAAAATGCTTCATTCATTCATTTAGGAATAAAATCAAGCGGCTGTCTATAATAATTGGTAATTGCATTGTTGTCTATAATAATGGGTTTTTCAAAGACTGGATATTCAAGTTGCTTATTCGTTTTCTATCCCTGAACGTTAAAACGAAAAATTAAGCCAAATTCTTGATTTTTCGTTTTGTATGAACAAATGAAAAACGAAAAATGTGCCGTTTTTTTTCATTTTTCAGTTTTCAATATTAAATTAAAAAACGAATGATCGGAAGATACCCTGATTCTGATTTACATTACATCTCTTTTTCAGTTTTCTTTTCATTCTAATATTGGCCTCATGATTGAAAAAAAAAATAGAATTATCATTTGTATTGTATTTTCTTTTTATATTTGACATGGGTGATGCATTGTCACTGTAAAAATGTAAATTTAAATAATTTTATTTTGTATTTTTGCTCATGTTTTGTGGACACTTGTCAATTAAAAAGTGTAATTGGATTTTACATTTTTATCATTTGAATAATTTATTTAAAACTGGCAGAAAAATTTTTCTTCACTTGCTCCATTTATCTTGTCTGGCTTTTGCAGGTCCAGTACTGTTGGAATGCCTAAAGTAAAGAGAGATAAGTACTCAGTCTTTAACTTCCTGACGATAACGGATAGCAGCCAGGTCAGCAGGGTGGCCCCGAGTGCTCCCAAACCTCCCAGTTCCAGCTCAACCCTTCCCCATTTGACTCCAGAAGTCTCCAATAAGAAATCCAGGTGGGACATACCAGGGCAGGAACCTAAAGACCCACTCAGTGCGTTCCTCAGTGAAACGCGCAGTGAGGTTTTAGCGGCCAAGAACCAGACTGACTCTCCACATGCTATTGCCACTCCAGAGGTACCAGTGGATACTTGACTATATTTATTAACTCTAATTATTAAAAAGCCTCCCTAAAAAATAAAATGAGAATGTTTCTATTTTATGGAAATTAAAGCTAAAGCTAAAGTATTTTTAAATTAGTACTATATACAGCAAAACTTCAATGTAGCAATCATGCTTTTATGCAGGTAAAAGTGGCACAGTCCGATGGCAAGCAGACTGAGCAAAAAACTGAAGAGGAGAAGAAAGAAGAGGATGAAGAAGAGGTGAGGCCTCCTATGGATCTCTTTAAAGCCATCTTTGCCAGCTCGTCAGATGAGAAGAGCTCATCTTCATCTGAAGATGATAGTGAAGAAGAGAAAGAGGTGGCCCCTCCAGCATCTGATCCAATCCAGAGCAGTGCAGAGACACTGAACCCACCCGTCTCAGCTCAGATCACTCCTGCTCCTGACATCAGCAGATTGACGGGTATAATCTAAAGATGAGCGGTTCCACAAAAATCTCTTTCATTGATTCAGATGTCAGTGTCAAATTGTCATAATCATTTATTGACTATTTTCTCTTCCCCTCAGATTTAAAGCATCTTACAGTCCAGAGCATGCCATCTGCTGAAACTACAGCACAAAAGTCCTCTCATAGTGCTCCTGCTAAATCACAAGGCCTGGATGAAGAGGAGTTTGGCCCCAGACTGCCACCTCCTGGTCAGTCACTGTAACCACTGCAGGCACCATCCTGCTCAATGTATCACGTGAACACCTATTTAAGTAATAATAGTAACTTGCATTGTAAGTAAATAAATGTCTAAAGCATGAATGTCACTCACACAAGACAGTTTCTTTACTATCAGGACTTTTTCATCTAGGACTTTTCACCAGCCTGTCTTTTATATTAACATGAAGTTTTACATTGTGTGTCTCTTCATAAAGGCTTTATCCCATCTGCATGCTCACCACAGCTGAAGAAACAAAAGAAGAAAGATAAAGAGAAACACAAAGCTAAGAAACACAAAAAAGAGAAAAAGGTGGGGTTATTTTGGAGTAGATTAACCCAGTCTGAGCACCAGACATCTTTGCAAAACTAGAAATTACATTTCAATTAACTTTTCTTCTTTTTTCAGAAGAAAAAGAACAAGAAACATAAGCATAAAGGGAAACAGAAGAAGAGAGTTGAGGAGTCTAATAGCAGCTCAGACGACACTGACTCCAACAGTGAAGATGAAAATAGAGTTGTGTCTACTAGTGAACTGCTCCAGAGGTCAGAGCTCATATTTTAATCATACAGCATTTTATAATGCATCTTGTAAATGGTAAGTTTATCTTGGTATACATATTTGTAATTTAAAAGATTGAAAAGATGATTATTTCTTTTTCTCTGGCTTAGGTTAAAAAACATCAGGAGCAAGAGAGAACATATCTGAAGAACTAAGAGTGATTTTGTCTTACAGAAACTTCAAGATGAATACTAATTTTGTGTGAGTGAGAGTGTGTGTGAGTGAGAGTGAGAGTGTGAGAGAGTGTGTGAGTGTGAGTGTGAGTGTGAGTGAGAGTGTGTGTGTGTGAGTGAGAGTGAGTGAGTGAGTGTGAGTGTGAGTGAGAGTGAGAGAGTGTGTGAGTGTGAGTGAGAGTGAGAGTGAGCATGCATGCACATGTGTGTTGGTGCATTTATTTTGGTGTACCTAATGCAAATGTGTTATGAATGTAGACTTTTTTTTTATAATTAATAAAAACAAAGACTAGTGATTATTATAATAAAACGCCAACCAGCTACATTAACCTTAATATAATACAACAATAATTTTACAATGTTATGTTATATATGTTACTATAAAAAATGAAAGCAATTATGCCACAACGAACAAAATGTGAAATAATTGTGTACTCCGCTTCATTAATTGAAAAGTTGCTGACAGTTTCCATAAGTGGAGCAGATAAAATATTTCAGATACCTTGAATGATCTAGGAGGAAAGCTCAGAAAACCCACCTGAATTTTAAAACCCCCAATCAACTGTGGACCTGAACTGTACTTAATCTGAGTATTGTTTAACTAACAAAGGGAGAAGGGTGTTCCTGCACAACCGGAGGCTGCGGTTTCAGGACCGCAGTTGTAAGACCGCAGTTCTAGGACCCTATTCTTTTGTAACAGCACCACCTACCGAATTGGATAATATAGCGGAGGCTGCAGTTTCAGGACCGCATTTCTAGGACCCTGGTGGTTTAGTTTGTAGTAATGTTTGTACATGTTAAAGATATTGAATCTCAGGAAAAAAAATTTTTTATTTCAATTGTGATTTTTGATTTATAAATGCATCAGATGTTAATTACAAAGTGTGTAATACCTGCTTTGAGTTAACAATTTTAAATTTAAATGAATTTACCTAGAACTGCGGTCCTGAAACTGCAGCCTCCGGTTGTGCAGGAACAAAGGGGGTCGAGGTGTTTATTTATTAGTTTATAGCGCCCCACCCGCCCTCGCCCTCCATTTAATTGTAAAATTGCCCATTAACATCTGCTATAAACCTTATTTACATCGTGTGTTAACTAAGGTTTGTGATAAAAATCCAACACATTACAAAAAGAAAATAAGCATATGTGTATTTAGCACTTTTCTTGGGTTTTCTTCTTCGGGATTATAAATTCACACGATGAGATATGTAAAATAATTAGAAGATCTGGAGAAGATCTGTTAATTTTTCAAGATCATGCAGATGTTCTGTCAGGACGTATAACGTTACTGTAAAATTGACACGGATAGGTCAGACACAGACAGGTCAGATCTTGTGTCTTAGAGGGATATAGTGGACAAAAAAATATGTTGTCAGTTAATCACCTTCATCTGTAACGGTGTTCTCTCTGAGCAACCATCAACACCAAATCGTAGCGCTCGGTTTGATGTTCAAAAATGTTGTGGAAAAAAAATAAGCAAAACCTATACAACCTAATCAAATGACTAAAATGGTGTCAAGGCTACGTTGTGTCAGCGCGCTGTGTTCAATCCAATAACAGATTCGAATCCTTTCTGCATTTTCGTACTTCACAAGTATACTGTACTTTTTGTATCGAGTGAAGTATATATATATACGGCAACTAATGACCAATCATACGGCGGCGCCGTGGCTTAGTTGGTTAAAGCGCCTGTCTAGTAAACAGGAGATCCTGGGTTCGAATCCCAGCGGTGCCTTTTGCACCATGCAGGCGCTACCACACTTTTAGGTACATAACACTAAATAAAATAACAATATATGCAATAAAGAATGAGAATGTGACGTAACGCCGCGTTGAGTTCTGGGAAACTGATTTGTTTATCCGCCATACTTGCAGGATAGCGCTGCCTTTCCGCTATTGAGTTTAGGGCAGTATTTGATTGTTTGTCGTGATTGTGAAAAATGTCACCAGTGTATGTCATTCATACTGCATCGATAATTGCAATAGTAACTCAGATCATCGTTAGAGAATGAGAAGTAACCATGGGAACGGATAGCGCATCCTGCTAATATGGCGGCGCCTTCCCGAAATGCAATGCGGAGTGAAAAGATCGTGACGTAACTCCTCATTCTCTATACAACTTTGGATTTAAAATGGACTAATACGACTGGAAATGCATCGCAAGGAACAGTCGTATGTACGCTGTAGAAACTGAGCAAAAACTTTTGAGTTTTGAAACCAGTCTGTGCATAAATATTTCAAATGACAAGGTCATTGTTTTGCTAAGCATGTAAATAATAAAATGGTTCACACGCCATGCTTTCCAGCGATGCATCCCTCCGTCCACAAGAGTGCAGGCTTTCACTGCCACAGTCCTTACAGCTGGTAAGTCCCCCAGACAAACCATGAAAACAAAAATGGTCTGTTTACATGATTACATCAAAACATCGTACACCCAGATCAATTTGTATTAATATGTTACATTTAAGTTAAACATTTTGGCGTTTACATCAGCATCATGTTATCTTGGTGTTTTGAATAATGACCTCAGCGTTATTTTGCATGAGGTGAGCTCCAGTAACTTAGTCTTCGATGGACAGAAGTCCACTGAGCTGCATTGCCGCTATTACTTCACCATATCTCGGAGATTATTACATAATTGGCACACCATGGAACTACATGGACGTAACGTTAGTGGAACGATATTATTACTGGTCAAGATATATTGCGGAAAGAAAAATATGTAGTGATAAATGAGTAATAAAGTCACAGGCTTAGTGATCGCCCCAAGAGCAGCAATTCATTAATTGACGACGAATCAGTGTGTGTCCTGTGTTCCCACTGAACCTCCAATCCCGTCTCTCCTCTGAAGGTCTCTCTGCCTTTCCCTCCAGACAGCGCACTGAGCCTCTCGGAAAGAGGGAGAGACGTTGCTTAGATGCTCGTGCAAGACGTTAAATCGAGCGTACGCGTGAAACCGACATGAGATGCGTTGCAAAATCTGTCTGGATTCTGAGGAAATGACCTGAGCTGTGAACAACAAGATGATGGAGAATATCGGGGCGATTCGGCTTTACCTCATGAAATGCATTTGTCTACGCTGGGCTTGGGTTTGTGTGGGTAAGTAGACTTCTATTATTGTGATATTATCATATATATAATTGTCATATATTTTAAAGAACAAAGGGTTCCGCGATTTCTACCGAGGGGGACCCCCTGGCCCCGGAGGTCTGTGCACGCCACTGGTGAGGTGCACTGTTGATAAAGCAGAAGTCAAGCTCTCACTTTTTATTGCATTGTACCTTTTTCAGCCCACATGTCGGGATAATATTAAATATTATTTCATTCAGACCTTAGGCAGGTGATTGTAGGCTGAAGAATGCGAATGGCAGCGATGACAAAGAAAGGTTAAGCGGCGCGCGCAGGTTTTGCAGCATTCATACAGGGAGAATCGAGGACAGATCCACGACGCCTTTGGCTTGTTGCCATGGTAGTTATAAACGCGGCGGTATCGGTCTGATCTCCTCGAAGACCGACCGGCTTTGTGATCCCCCCCCCCTAACAAATGTGTATTATTGCGCAGCAAATTAAGCTGTTCACGTGCAATTCTACGTAATTAAAATTTAAACAATACGTATTACCACTTACCAACTACGCTAAAAAGGTTAGTTTCCCAGACTGCTCTGTAAGTTGGCTTTAGAAGGGTTTGGGACACTTTTCAGTTGTTCAGACTGGTAGCGCACCTAAACCTACTGAGCACCAGCATCTTCCAGGCTTGGAGACCAGCTTAAACCAGTCCAACAAAACATAACTGGCACTATATTATGATCTGATAATCTGTTATATCAATCACTAGTGCACAGTGACTTTTTCGACATCCTCAGCATTCCAAGCATCCGTTTGAGCATAAAATCTATGTTCATAACTAGATAGCATCGAAACTAAAACTAAACCAATGCTTTCACAGTCTGCCAAGCATTGGGCATCTTATCTCAGCCATAATCTATTTTTACATAGCACTCTAGGCTTGTTTGAGTAACACACGATCTGTTGAGGTCAGCTTAAATGCTCAACAAACAACCACAGATAGAACAGAGTTAGAAAGAGACGCCTGCTTTTACTCAAGCAGATGCTCTCAAATCAGAGACGGGAGCACAGAAAGAGAACGAATGGCTGTGTTATACTGGAGGTGGTATGAAGGGGTGGGGGCATGTTGATAGTACCAGTGACACCTAGAGCTCTTCCTCTCTCACACAAAGACAAAGGGAACTTCTTCTCTCTTTCTTTATTACTCTCACACACCCAAATAGCCGTTTCCTTTTACCTATAGATATTCCATGTCCAGACATGTTTTCCCCACTAAATGTGAGTGTGTATCATTAATATTGACACAGCATTTCCCTTTAGAGGTTGTTCCATCTGGTAAATGAAGACAATTAGGGTGTTCATTGTATTCGACTGTAATAGTTTGCAATAGTTCTGAAATAAAAAAACAACAAAGCCAAATATCTCAATAACAACAAAATGTTCTCCTTTATGTGTAGAAGTGATTTGATAGAATTTAATATAGGGGAAAGTAACAAAGCAGATGCAGAAAGAATATGGGGAAGACTGTTTTGAGTTCAGTTATAGACCTTGGGCACGGTAGCACTTTATTTAATTTTTGACAGAAATAAAAACGAGGCTGTGAGGGATTGAAGTATAAAAATGCCATTGTATAGACTGTAGTCTAACCCTCACAGCCTTATTTTCATCTGTGTAAAATCCAATTTGTTGTCTACCCTGGTTAAGGTTATAATGTGTGCTGTATGTATCTAGGAAAGTAAAAGGATGTCAGTGAGGTGATGATGAGCCTTGAGGCTCAACATCATAAAATGATCTGTGCTCATATGCTGGGATTCCCCTGATCTCTGTCCTATTCTCTCACACAGAGAACAGGGTATTATAAGCTTCTTCTTTTCAGCTTTGCCTAAGGCACTCAGACGCTCCTAGACATCATCATATTTTATGTAGAGTAAAAGCAGCCACTGGGCGTGTGAGAGGCGTGTGTTTGTCCTGAAGGGTAATAAGTAGTGTTGGGGATGGAGCTGAGGAGAGAGATGTGCTGCCGTCTGCATTCAGGGATCTCACGTCATACAAAACAGAGGTATCAGGGAAAATTGTGATTTCTAGTTCTGAAAAAGTCATGGAAATATTAAAGAGAATATTTTTGTTGTTGTTCAGCTCTAAATGTATTATTATATTTATTTTGATATTATTATATAAAACCCTGTAATCACTAATTATTCGAAAAGTTGAGTATTATTATCAAAAATTATACATTATGTTTTGATATTTATATATATTATATAAAATATTTTTAAAGATCATAAATGACTGGAAAAGTCAATTATTATTATTATTATTATTTAAAAATCCAGAAATAACGAACGTTTGGAAATGTCCAGGAAATGCATGTGTCTAAAGGTCCATAAATAGACAGTTCTTTACTGTCCTTGTTTCTCTTTCAAGAGACTTTAGCATAGATGAAAGAAAAAAAAAGAAAAAGAAAACGGTGAATAGTTTATACACTCACTTGAACCTTCTCTTTCTTCCTGGACTATTTCTGTTGCTTCCCAGGCTATTTCTTCCTTGTCTTATTCATAATCAATAGCACACACTCTCACACACCTCCCCACTAAATTGAGTATTATGTGTCAGTGCCATTCCACAGGCTCTCTCTGATCCTTCTTGAGTGAGTGGATCAAATGCTTGCCATCATATATACCTGGCCTGCACTCAGGAATCCATAAAGCCTGGAGTAATGTGTTGATGTCATCTCAATCACATTGTGACAGCTGTGGTCACTCATGAGTCACTCTGCCACACATAAACAATGCACATGTCTTCTGTGTGTGTTCCTCAGCTGCCTGTGGTGGTAAAGTGGAGTTACACACCGAGAGGAGAGGAGTGATCTACAGCCCATCATGGCCCCTCAACTACCCGCCCGGAGTGAACTGCAGCTGGAATATACAGGGAAGCCGCGGAGATGTGATCACAATCAGGTAGATACACACAAGCAGTCTTGGTATTTGTATTTCTCCTCTGTGCATGCAAGAAATGCTGCTTTTAATGAACAACAATTAGTCACAGCAACCTTCACACTGTTAGATACCCCAGCAGCTTTTACTAGTGAATTGTATGAATGTATGGTATTTCCCAATTAAACCTTAAAGCGGTCATATGATGAGATTTCAAGTTTTCCTTTCTCTTTGGAGTGTTACAAGCTGTTTGTGAATAGATAAGATCCCTAAAGTTGCAAAGACTAAAGTCTCAAACCCAAAAAGATATTCTTTATAAAAAGTTAAGACTCGTCCACGCCCTCCTAAAACGGCTCGTTCAAACACGCCCCCACATGGCTACGTCACTGTGTGGGAAGATTTGCATAACGCCGCCCAAATGTTCACACAAAGAAAGAAGGCGTAACTTTTATTCTCGCTGTAGTATTGTTGCTGCAGCCGCCATGTCGTGGAGACGCTGTGTGTTTCGTTGTGAAAGCGAAACTACTTTGTTTGGTCTTCCAAAAGAGGACACGACTAGAAATCAGTGGTTAAGTTGTATTTACAGCACTGTTCCAGAACAGTTCAACCCAAATATTCAGATTTGTGCAACGCATTTTACGGAGGATGAGGACTGTTTCATGGGAGAGTAGCCTACAATGCCAGTGTTCTGACAAATAATGCTGAACAATATAAAACGCACTAAAGATTAATGAGCTGCTGGATTCATGAATATTAATCAGGATGTGTGCATTCACTCAATCTGATTATCTGAAATCAATACAGGGCTGATAATAGGTGAGCGCCAGCCAATGAGATTGCCGTTTGCGCATTAGTTCCGCCCACTACTGGAGAAAGCAGCAGTTTTTAAAAGCTGAAGAATTCCAAAGGAACGCTGTTATTTTGACAGGAAAATACAACAAAGAATATCGTTTACATGTAGCGTAGACACATTTGTTTGTATATGCTGTCAATTATAGTTCTTAGAAAGAAAATCGGAATCGGCAAAAATCGGTATCGGCAGATCACACTAACAAAAAATATTATATTAAAAAAATGTATATAAAATATATATAAAATATAAAATTTATTAGGATTTCAATTTAAAATAATAGCTGATCTTTAATTTACAATAATGGAAACTAGATTACTATAATGTAATGCCATAACACCTATAAGTTAACACATTTTTGCTGGATACGCATGATACTGGATGATTTGTTTTGTTTATAATTTTCAACCATTTTAATGACCATCGTAAGATATTATTTCTAAACAGTAAGTAAGTTTTATTTATAGAGCACATTTAAAATTCAGCGTTACACTGACCAAAGTGCTGAACAAAACCAATAATAAAATACAGTAAATTCTAAAATAAAGTCAAATTTAAAAAACAATAATAAAAAAATTGTAATATCGGCATTAACAACAGTTTCACATTCAATTAATAGCCCGGAAAGGCGAGAGAGTAAAAATGTGTCTTAAGTCTGGACTTGAAAATAGAAACAGAAGAAGCACTCCTAATGTCAGGTGGCAACTGATTCCACAAACGTGGAGCAGCGACTGCAAAGACTCTGTCTCCTTTTAATTTAAGTCGTGACCGAGGGACATGTAATAGAGCTTTATTAGCGGATCTGAGAGACTTCGGCGTTGAATGCAAATAAAAGCTATTTTTGCTGCCTTCTGAAAGTTCTCCAGGGATTCAGTGCATAAAAACACTTGTGTATGATCACTGAATATAAGACATTGTTGCAATGCAGCACTGGCCTGATAGCTGAAGTGACAGTTCTGCCAACTGGCCCAAAACTTTCTGGCACTGGCCTCAGGCCTTCAGATCATCCTTATCGTTGTGACCTGTCTAAAATATTCAGAAGCGTTGCATAATGTGTATGTACATGTCCAGTTGATTGACAGCAAAAGGAAATTTAAATGTCTGTATTTTAATGACTATCTATACTGTGATAGTGCAGTTTAATAATTTAATAATGAAGTAAAAATAATTTTATCATGTAAATTAAAATAGATTCTGCGTTTATTGGGTCACACAGTATTAATGGGTGAAAGTCATATCTCTGCATTCTGATGAATGAACTCTCACCATCTGCTTTTATAAAGTGATTATTCTTGCTTAATGGGTAAAATATTTGTGATATCATATTTCAGCCATAATTCAGCTCACAAACATAAAATTTATAGGTGAAATCTGTTTAGGAACCCCTGAACATGTTTTGCCACTCAAATGGTCATGACACATCTTATTACTAAATTATTGTAAAACAAACTCCGTCTAAGCAGCGATATTTGGGAAGTATATAGGAAAAAGAGAGATAAGAAAGAGAACAGAGAAATAGATGTGTAATGTTGTCAAGTTATTGGCTGCAAATAGCCCATTCTTCTGTAATGGTACTGGATGCTAATTTTATCTCTTGCTCTTGAGTATTTGTGTGAGATTGTGTGTGTGTGTGTGTGTGTGTGTGTGTGTGTGTGTACTCTGATAGTACTCTGTAATCTGTATAATGTGATAATAGTTCCACTGCAAATATTCTCTCTCTGTTGCTTATGGTCTCCCACTCCTTTTATATCACTGAAATGTTGTTATAGGGTCATTCCTATTATGTAGAAAAATTAATATTATTGTGTAATTTAAAGGGTTAGTTCACCCAAAAATGAAAATTAGCCTGTGTTTTACAGCATCCTAGGTGTATGTGACTTTCTTCTTTCAGAAGAATCCAATCGGAGTTATATTAAAAATTGTCCTTGCCCCTCCAAGCCTTTCAATGTGGGTAAGCGGGTGTTTGTTGTGAACAGTTCAGAAGACGTGAAATAAAGTGCGTGCATCCGTAATAAAACGTCCCTCACACGGCTCCGGGGGGTGAATAAAGGCCTCCTGTAGCGAATCCATGTGTTTTTGTAAGATAAATATCCATATTTCAAACGTAATAAACACTTTTTTCTCACTTCCGCTGACTGTGGTACACAGAAGACATTCAGGCGGATGACGTAGGCGTCGTGCGCGCGCCGCTGAGAAATGCAGGAGCAAAGTAAACAAAGTTTCCTTACTTTAGCAAAGGAAAACCAGTCTCCTTTTGGCTTATATCGAAATCCTCCGACATTCTTCTTTACAAATCCTTGTTTTGTGCTTCTAATTCGTGAACTGCGTTTTGTTTTGTTTTGTCTTACGTCATCTGCCTGAACGTCTTCCGCGTACCACAGTCAGCAGAAGTGAGAAAAAAGTGTTTATTACGTTTGAGATACGGATATTTATCTTACAAAAACACATGGATTCGCTACAGGAGGCCTTTATTCACCCCCCGGAGCCGTGTGAGGGACGTTTTATTACGGATGCGCGCACATTATTTCACGTCTTCTGAACTGTTGTTGACAACCAACACCCATTGAAAGGCTTGGAGGGGCCAGGACAATTTTTAATATAACTCCGATTGGATTCGTCTGAAAGAAGAAAGTCATATACACCTAGGATGCTTCGAGGGTGAGTAAAACACAAGCTAATTTTCCTTTTTGGGTGAACTAACTAAGGAGGTATCACAAAAGCAACCACAATGGGTTTCACAGGAAATACTATGATATTGATTAAAACAATTTTCCAAAGGAAAAAGATTAAGAAGCACCTGTAATATTTCTTAATACACTAATATTTTTTTTATTTTAGTGACATGGCAAAAAGGGCTCAAATCATCCATTTAACCAAAGCGAAACCAAAGCGAAAAATTCACTGCTGCTTTGTTGTGATAATATAAAACTGCAGATTTTTAAATATAATATAAATACAAATCATATGATAATTTATATAAAAATTAGATCTTTACAATTGTTTAATATCTTAATATCTAGAGATGAAACTATGCTGCAAAGAAAAAAAATTATTTTCACTCTCTTCTTTTGTTTAATTCTTTTAATAATTTCCAATTTACTGCTTACCTTTTACACAAACAGAACTGCATATTGTCACAGCAGAAGTGGTTGCAAATGTAACCTTGAAAAGAAAATGAAAAAGACACATAAAAGGGTCACATATAGAAGAAGAGAAGAAAGCAGAGCTCGGCTATGCTTGGATAAAAGTTGTTGTATTTTTTAGAATGTTAATTTGACATTTTCTTTTAATCTTAATCTTTTTAGCAATTTATTGTGCCTCTGACATTTCATTTGATTATACTGTTCTAGAATTTTTATGTAGTATACACTATTATACAGTGGAAGTGCTGAAACAGCAGTGATTCCAGCCCATGCATTAAGCACCATGTGTTGCTGTGTCCAGTTTTCACAGCTTTGAAGTGGAGGACATGGGGGACTGCAGGGGCGACTGGCTGCTGCTCGGCCCCACATGGAAAGCTGAGTATCGGTTCTGTGGCTCTGTTCTTCCTCCTCCCTTCATCTCCTCCAGAGGACAGGTCTGGGTCTACTTCCACTCTCAGGCTAACAGCTCTGGACAGGCACAAGGCTTCAGACTATCTTACATACGAGGTGAGTGAACTTAGAGTGTGCGTATGTTCCATTAGAGCCCATTCTGCTCTTTTGTGTTTTACAGTAAAAGTGGTTAATACTTGTGCTCTATATTCCAAGTCTTCTAATAATGGTGTGTGAAAATGTAAGACATTTTCTATCATTTTCCCTACTGCCAATACAAATTTCATTTATGTTTGTAAGCATTCAAACCTGGTGCCTCACAGTGTGTCAGATGTCATTGGTTATTGTGACTCATAAGCAATTGTCATGCAACGAGTTTTAAATGCAGACAATCCTAGACTAGCGTTCAGAAGTTTGGGGTCACTGATTTTTAAAATGTTTTTAAAAGTGCTCACAAAGGTTGCAATTATTTGATCAAAATAACAGTAAAAACTGTAATATTGTGAAATATCATTAAATATTACACAGGAATATCACTGTGACGGCAAAGCTGAATTTTCAGCATCATTACTCCAGTCTTCAGTGTCACATGATCCTTCGGAAATCATTTTAATATACTGATTTCTCTGCTCAAGAAACATTTATTGTCAATGTTGAAAACAGTTGTGCTTCTTAATACTTTTTTTGTGGAAATCTTTACTGTTTTAATACATCCTTGCTGAATAAAAAAATATATATTTTTTTTAATTAAAAAAAAAAAAATCTTACTGACCCCACTTTTGAACGGTATTGTACAATCTGTCATTCCAGTGAGTCAGTTAATTCAGTCAGTTAATTTTTGGGTGAACAAGACTCAAAACAAGCTTGAATATTATGCTTTCGTGTTCTAGGATTTAATATCCATTGATTGGGCATATTTTTATCATACTTTATCCATTTCCTTTAGAGTTGCAATTTTTCATCAGATTTAGTTGTGTTCCTACATTAGAGAGCCGCTAAATTACAGAGACTGTTGTCGTGGCATATAGATTTTCTGTAAGTACAGATTGACCAGGCGATTGCAGGCTTAGCAGATCAATAGTATGGCCATAGAGCCGTGATGAAATGCTAATGCTTTGCAGCACTTGTTACATAATGTGCATATTTGGATTGCACTAGTGTCGGTGTGTATTAGACAGATCTCCACTGATGATTATTTAGTTAGATCTAATATGTAGATAATGAAGATGAAGGAGATAATTGGCTGTCATTACTTAAAGCTGCAGTCCGTAACTTTTTTGGGTTAAAAATTATCCTAAATCAATATTTGAGCAAGTACATAACCAGCCAGTGTTCGAAACTATCGCCTTACTTTAGCCCGATTCACAACGGTTAGCTTATAATAATGTTTTCTAATTTGAGTGGTACGGGTAGGTTTTCGCGGGAAATTCGAGTATGGCACTGCGTCATTACGTCACGTCTGTAAACATAAAGAAGTTGTCCCGGCTACTAAGCTATCGCATGTGAGGATCCTGCAGGTGGCCGATAGTTTATAGCCTTTTCTCACAGCAGCCAGAATAATTAAATGTATAAATATCCACACCAGTGCGGTGACTGACTGCCACACATACAGAACATTAGATTCATCCGCGCTGGAGCCGTGCCCACTCACAACCCACGCAAGCTAGATAATTCTGCACACAGCTGCAATTCCAGGTTTTCAAACAGAGATGGCGACAAAGCAAAACTTACGGACTGCAGCTTTAACTCCACAGGGTATGTGTAAATGTCACTGAGTGTGTGTGTGTGAGGAGTGAAATGCTGTGTTTGTGCGATTTCCTCAGAGGTGCAGTTCAATCAATAATACTGAATGGCTGTGTTTGTTAAGCTGTCACCAGGCAAACACCATCTGCAGAGTGGGTAGATTTGGTTGGCTTATTTCAGCAAACCGTCAGTGTTTACGTGTGCAAAAGACTTTGTCTCTGTCTGTTTTTTACTCATTAGGTTGCCTGGGTCAGAGTAGTTGTGAGAACGATGAATATTTATGTGGAAATGGTAAGTGCGTTCCACGTTCCTGGCGCTGTAACGGATTGGACGAGTGTGGAGACAATACAGACGAAAGGAGCTGTGCTGCCCAACCAACACCCAGCCGGGTCAGTCTGTGTCCGCCTGGTACCTTGCAGTGCTCTGATATCCAATCTACCCGCTGTCTGCCAGTGTCTCTGCGCTGTAATGGAGCCCGGGACTGTCCCGACGGATCCGACGAGGCCCACTGTCCCGACACATCCTGTGGAAAACGCTTAGTCAACTTCTACGGGACATTTGCCTCACCTGATTTTTTCCGTCCAAACAGGACCGCTGGCACAGATCTTCACTGCACATGGTTCCTAGACACACAAGTATGATAAGAACCTCATTTATTCTCACTTTAGGTTGCATTAAATCACTTACAACGTTCTGCTTGTCTGTTCTTGCTTCAGGACCCAAAGCCACTGGTGCTGCAGGTGGACCTACAGCTGGGTGTGGGAGACTCTGTCCGTGTTTATGATGGATTGGGAGAGCGTGTGGAACATCTTCTGCAGAGTCTCTCTCACCATAATAACCATAGACGAGCCTTGCTGGAGTCGTCCCAGGGACAGATGAGCGTCTTCTACCATGCTAAACCACACAGCCCTGGACACGGATTCAACGCCACCTACCAGGTCTCACATTCTTGGTGATGCTAATGAGAGTTTGTACATTTCCCGGTGATAACTTATGCTCTCCATTTTGCATTGGCATTGTGTGTTTTGGTTGAATACTTTGCATCAGTACAGTGTAAAACTGTCTTTTAGCATATTGTTAAAAGCTTGTTTTTCTTCATACTGTGTATGAAGATATCATTAAGTTCTTCCTGGTCTTTATGTCTTAACAAGTTTGGTTAAAAAAACTGAAAGAATATAATATACAATATACACACATTATATTTATTTAGTGACAGTAGAGACAGTTATGTAAAAAAAAATATTTCAAATAAATGCTGTTCTTTTGAACTTTCTGTAAATTAAAGAATTCTGTAAAAAGTGTATCACAATTTCCACAAGAATATTAAGCAGGATGGCCAATTCAATGCAAATTCAGCTTTTCCATCACAGGAAGAAATTGAAATATATACTTTTTAAAATAGGGGAGAGGGGGGGTGAGTTGAGCCCTTGGGAATAATCACTTTGGATCTAAAATAAACTGCTTTCAAAATATGGCTTTCCAAAAAAAAAGAAAAAAAGACGCTGGGTTAGGCTCCAGCTCCCCGCAACCCTAATAAGGACAAGTAGGTTTGGATAATAGAATGGATGGAAGGATGACTTTTTAAATAATTTCAAAATTTCAAACCAAAGTTCAATTAAAATAAATAAATAAAAACTGACTGCACTTGACCTTACAGAACTGGGATAATAGTACTCAACATCACACTTATAAATGTTGCAGGGAAATACAATTTCATTAAACTTCAATGGCCAATTTTCATAAACAAGGCCTATTTAACATTTTCAGAACAAAATCAAGTTCAAAACAGGAAAATCAAAAATGTTTGTCTAAAATTATTGAAATATAATGTAGAATTACAGTACAATTATACTTTAGGTTGTGAAGATGGGGTGAGCTAATGGTTCTACTTACCCCAGGACTTTTAACTTAAATTAAACTTCTAATCATGCTTACAGTATAGCCTCGTATTATAACTTCCTAAACCACAAACACGTGTGATATTTTTTCAGATTTCTTTTTTTATTTAAATGTTGTTACCAATTATTCCATGGGCCTCTCTCCATCATAGGGTGAGTAAAATTGATAACTCTTCATATATTTGTGGTCACATTGTAACAGTTGTCTCATTTTGATCAAATAAATGCATTCCTGGTGCGTGTAAGAGACTTCTTTCAAAAACAAAAAAAATCTTACTGATCCTGAACTTTGAAAGACCCTGGTGAGTGTAAGAGACTTCTTTGAAAAAACAAAAAAAATCTTACTGACCCTGAAGTGAAAAATGTTCTTGTCTTGTTGATTCACTGTGGAATGAATCAACAAGACAACAAGACAAGGTATTTTAGGAGGTTTACATCATTCATTCTTGCAGAACCGAAGCATAACTGACAAAAACAACTCTGCAAGTAACCTGCAGTTTTATGTTTCAAACACAAATGGCAATAAAGTGGCCAATGTTCCACAGTGCAAGTTTAACTAGATATCCACAAGCAAAACTGTGAAGTAATCTGTACTCACTGCAGTTTATAATTAGGATTGATACTCTGTGATGCTAATAATGTTTAACCTCCGTCCATCTCCCTGCAGGTTAAGGGGTACTGCTTTCCAGGTGAGCATCCATGTGGCACAGTCGAGGGCTGTTACTCGGAGCTGCAGCGTTGTGATGGCTTCTGGCACTGCCCAGGGGGGCGAGATGAGGAGGACTGCCCGCTGTGCCAGCCGGGAGAGTATCCCTGCGAGGGTGGCAGCGGAGCGTGTTACTCGGCTTCTGAGAGGTGTAACAACCAGAAGAAGTGCCCCGATGGCTCAGATGAGAAAAACTGCTTTGATTGCCAGCCTGGAAACTTCCACTGTGGAACCAACCTGTGCATCTTTGAGACGTGGCGCTGTGATGGGCAGGAGGACTGTCTCGACGGCAGTGATGAAAGAGACTGTCTTGCATCCGTGCCCAGGAAGGTGATCACAGCAGCTCTGATTGGCAGCTTGGTCTGTGGGTTGCTGCTGGTCATTGCACTGGGTTGTGCCTTTAAACTCTACTCGCTCAGGACAAGAGAGTACAGGTGAGGTCACTTCCATCTTCTTCCTGCCTGCATTTAAAGGAACACTCCACTATTTTTGAAAATAGTGAAAATAAACAGTTTTGAAAATAAACAGTTGAGTTTTACCGTTTTCAAATCCATTCAGCCGATCTCCGGGTCTGGCGGTAGCACTTTTAGCTGCTAACAGTCTAATCAGATTCAATGATCTATGCTAAGCTACAGCGTGTGTAAAAGTGCTACCGCCAGACCCGGAGATCAGCTGAATGGATTAGAAAACGGTAAAACTCAACTGTTTAACTCTATTTTTAAAAATAGTGGCGTGTTCCTTTAAACTCAAAGCAAAGTGATTTAGGAAATATATAGTGATTCTCAAATTTTTCTATATATAGTATATAGTTTTTCATTATTTAAGATGTCTTAATCATTATTACTTCTTTATATTTATTTTTATTTTAATTAAACAAGAAAGATATATTTATTTGATAATCAAAATTGTCTTAACCCATTGGAAAATCATTTTTTTCTCACTAAGTTTTGTTGTTTTTGCTTAAAACAAGTGAAAAAAAAATTTTTTTTTTTAATTTGTGAAAGAAGTATCTTATGCTTACCAAGGCTGAATTTATTTAATCAAAAACACAGTAAAAACAATAATATTGTTAAATATTATTACAATTTAGCTTAACTGCTTTCTTTTTAGTGTATTATTTTAATTAATTTATTTCAAAAGAGATTTTAAGATTAAGATTTTGTCTAATTCTTAATATATCTTTTGTCTTGTTTAGACAAAACAAATCAAAACAAGATGTTAAGAAAATGATGAAAAAGATGTTATTTTATTTTTTGTATCGTGCCAGTCTTATCTTTTCTTTCTTTTTTATTTGTAACTTTCCTTATTTTCTGCTAAATGGATTTTATCCCAATGAGATAAAGAAAGAAAACATGAGAAGGCGGATGCTCTGGGAGGTGATGCACAGTTTTTCTCCAGTTAACCTTGTGAAGACAAAGCAGCACCCAAAATACCCTTGATTCATCAAACAGGCAAAGTACTGCTGGTTAAGTAACAGCTCTTGGAGATTCTCAAGAGATATCCTGCCTGAATGTGTTCAGCAGCTTCCCTTTTTAAAAAGCCATTGTTTTTTCTTACATTTTTAACCGGCATCAGTCAGCATCTTTATAAAACAGCTTTTATTTTTTTTATGTTCCCCTTTCTCACTAGAGCTTTTGAAACCCAGATGACCCGACTAGAGGCGGAGTTTGTTCAGAGGGAGGCTCCACCCTCCTATGGTCAGCTGATAGCTCAAGGTCTCATTCCTCCAGTGGATGACTTCCCAGTGTACAACCCAACACAGGTATGTGAATATGACATTGAATTTGATTTGAGGTAGCAAATAGGATTGTGATTCAAATGTGAAATTAAGGAAATACGAATAAAATGGAAATGAAACTGTGGTCACATTAGCGAAAATTCAGCAAAATTCTGTGGCCAAAAACATTTGTGTTTTCCATAGCCAATAGTGTAGCAATGGACGTAGCACTTCTCACACAGAAGTCACTTTAAAACCAGTCAACGTTCTATTGGTCAATGCAGTGAATTTACGTGAACACCTTGAACACAAGCAAAATCTGTGTGGGGAACTTTTTCGCCCTCATGAGAAAATTCCCAATTCCTATTGAAATGACAGGATTTCGCTTGCAAAATTATGCAGGGCAATATGCAGGGCAATGGTAAATGGGACTGGACCTCTTTTTTTTCATACATGTCTCTCTCAGGCTTCTGTTCTGCAGAATCTCCGTTCAGCTATGCGGAGGCAGATTCGTCGTCACTGTTCTCGTCGTTCCTCGTCACGCCGGAGACTTGGTCGTCTGTGGAATCGCCTGTTCCATCGTGGCTCTCGGTTACGGGGTCAGATACCTCTCCTCACGCCTCCAGGCCACACGCACACAAACCCCGATCTGAGCCTCCACAGCTACAACACAACGGACGATGGCATTGAGGTGTCACGTGAGAGTGCGGGACAGACTCCGCCATCCTGTTCGACGGTGGCGCTGGGACTGGCTCTGCAGGCTCACACTGAGGCCCTCTGCCTACCTGACAGACAGTCTCTGTCCTCTCCTCTCTCCCTGCCCTCCCCTACCTCACCCCGCTCCACCTCTGACACTCTGGAAGACGAAGATGATGAAGATGACAGAGGATCAGAGTGGATGAGAATGAAATCCAAACAGGGCATTTCCCCAAAACATAAAGATGATGACAGTCCTCCTGGACCCCCCGATAGCCCCAAACGCAGCACAAGCCGGTCGAGATCCTCCAGACAGCTGGTGCAGGAACTGGCTGCAGAGCTCAGAGGAGTCTCTCTCCTGCGCTACACCTCTGTGGGCATCTCACCGCTTTCCTCCCCCGAGTCACCGATGTCCTCCAGCGGTCAGTCTGAGGAGCAAAGAAGCTTTCCTACATTCAGAAAACCACATATGGACGCGCACACAGACTCGCTCACAGATGCTCACGGACACGCCAGGAAATCTTCAGAAACAGAAGAGGTTCCTGGTGACAGTGTCAGGCTTTGCAGACTCACAACTAGCGAGGAAGAGGATGATGAGATTCTGTTAGTGCACTGAGAAGCCTTTATCACCCTCCCTGTTCTGATTTTTGTGCCAACAGAGTGAGCCTTACTAGGTTCAACCTATGGCCTTCCATCCAGAGTCATAAAGTACAGTATGTTTACATGTGCAGTTATGATCGAGTTTTTTGCATTGTCAAGCTACAGTCTTTATAAGTATACATGACACAATGCATATGCAAATATTAAATACATGTTGAGCACCACCTCTGTAACAACGGCAGGGCCAGTTGTAGTCTGATTAACATGTATACATGCTGGATGAAATCAAGCTATAATTACATACGAGTCTGTTAGTGCAGTGGTTCCCAAACATTTTCTGTCGGGCCCCCCTTTTGTAGAGAATAATATTTTCAAGCCCCAAGCAACAACCCCACCCCCCCTCCCTTTTTTTGGTAAAGTCTCTTATAATATTGTGAAATATTTGGTTACAGTTGTCATAAACATGCATAAAACCTCCTTCATATTCATGACATGTGTCATGTCATGATTATGAAGGTATCATGTCAGTCTTATGCACACCCCTTCAAGTAAAGTGTTACCAAATATTTTAACATATAGGCTACTGTATTCCTGTGATCAGAGCTGGGGGGGATGCTCATGCTTGATTATATAATCTCACAGTTCAGCTCCTGCATTCAATATGATTGTTCACTTGCTAGAAATCACCTAAAACCCTTATGAATGTGGCTATAACACAAAAGGACTGAGCATAAATACTTTCCCACATGGAATATCATTATTACACAGAACTTAATTAGCCTGAATCTCTGCTTTTTATCAGTAACATTCTGTCATGATCTTCGGAAACTCTGAAAAGGCCTCAGAGATCTCCTCTCACCTCCCCAACGCCTAATAAGAGATTCACTGTGTCGCCTGCTGAGGGAAATATTAATGCACTCATTTCATTTTTATCAGAACCAGCCAGAATGTTTGAATGTTGGCTGTGTTCTGCATTAACGGATTTTAACCTCTTATATTGTACACACACTACCGTTCAAAAGGTTGAGGTTGTTTTGTTTTTGTTGGAAGTTTTTGAAAGAAGTCCTTTATGCTCACCAAGGCTGAATTTATTTTATTCAAAAATACAGTAAAAACAGTAATATTGTGAAATATTATTACAATTTAAAATAACTGTTTTCTATTTTAATATATTTTAAAATGTAATTTATTTCTGTGATGTCAAAGCTGATTTTTCAGCAGCCTTTACTCCAGTCTTCAGTTTCTTTTTGTCCGTTGTGCTGCTTAATATTTTGTGGAAACTGTGAGTTAATGCATTCTTGCTAAATAAAATAATTGATTTCTTTAAAAAATGTGCTGACCCCAAACCTTTGAACAGTGGTGTACAATTTTATACCCCTGGACTACTGGAGCTGTTTGCTGATTTAGTGATGATCTGTATCGGCTTTTTTGTATTTAAAGGTGGGGTAAGCGATTTTTCAAAAACGCTTTAGAAAACTGATTCGGGTGACTAGCAAAACAAACTTGTAGCCAATCAGCAGTAAGGGGCGTGTCTACTCATGATGTGGAAGAGAGAGCGTTCAGTGCACAGGACAGACATTAGCAAGCCGAGCAACAGAAAGATAGAGATGGCGGATAAAAAACAAAAGAGGAAACGTCTGCGGAACAAAAGAAGGCTTCAGGCAAGAAGTAGGACCCGTGTAAATATCAGATCAGCTTTCCAGCGCTGGAGAGAACTCAAGGAGGATTTCAAATGTCAACATTGGCTACGAGAAATCACTTACCCCACCTTTAAGGTTTGTTTTGTTAGTCTGGCTACCAGACTGTAATATCATGGCAGGTCCACCATTGACATGAATTAATGTTAAGAAGCATTTTCCCCATGTAAAAGACAATGAGTGTTTCTTGAAGGGAAGCAGAACTCAGGAAATGTATAATGGTTCATGAGAGAGAAGCAATTAACCTGGATTTCCTTGTTAACAGTTGTAGTCTATAGATGTACTGAGAAGTACTGCTGCCTCAACTGAGTTCTGAAGCCATCAGGACATCACGGAGTCGTGGGAAAATGACACAATCACATTTGTGTTTGAGCCCACACATGTTAATGTCTTTGATTTTCATATCAGCCATTACAATTTCATCAGCATTTATGCTTATACTTGAGAGACATGTTTGCCAGTAAAATTATGTTGCTCCCATATCCGTGAATGTATGTATGTTCTGTTATTAAATGTAGTACCACATACTCGGTGCAAGTCATACTTGCTGCTTTAGCACACTTGGTCCTGGTCCATGCTTAGAAATAAGAAATAATCAAACTAAAAAGCTGGTCCCATCTCTGAAGGGTCGGTCTGTTCCTTCAACTCATTCTGTCTGCTGCTGTTATTTCACGTATCTCCATTCTCCATGCTCAGACTGCAGGATCTCTTGTCTGATCCCATAGGTTCAAGAATGTTCCATTTCAGAGATTGATAGATTTTATAGAATTGCAGATGTTTTAATGCAGTGTGAAGCGTTTAGATTCAGTGCCATTAGAGAGGTCATGCACTTTGTCTTGTCATTTGTTGGGTTCAGTTGAAATGGCTGAAGATTAAAGCACTGCTAAGAGACTTTACTTGCGGCATACATGACTACTGGTTTGACATTTTTTAATAGTGTCCTTTATGTTCTGTGGAATTCAAGTAAAATCCAATAGAAGACAACAGATAACAATCAATAAAGTCTTTTAGGGTTATTCGGCCAGCAGCTTGAAACCCTAGAACAGTGGTTCTTAACCTTTTTGACTCAAAGGCCACCAATTGTCCAACACAATGTTCTTGAATAAAAGTTATTGAGGGAGGAAAATAAATATTATTTGGATTTTTGTTTTTTAGCATTTTAATTAAGTTACTTTAATATAATTAAGTTAAATAATTGTAAGTCATCCCATGCCCCCCTTGGAAGTGTTTCTCTCTTATTTTCATTGCAGTCTGTGGTTGCCTTGAACATATTTTGTAAATGTCTATAACATATAATTTTTTCCCCTTCCAATCTGGTTGTGTATGGTCGGTAATGGTCAAGGTTGCTATATGTTTGAAAAGGTTTTGATGCATTTCATTTGCTGAAAGGATGAAAAATACTGTTTACTTGTTGCATTAAACACACATTTCTTCATTAGATATTCAGACACACTTATTGTTATCTGGATGAAGTGTAGTCATTCATAAACCTAATCTTCCCTGAAGAACACAATTAGCCCTGTAGCATAATAGACCAGTGGCCATATAACAGAAACTTCCTGTTAAGTCTTAAGATCCTAACCCTCACCATAATTACTAAACAGATAGGATTCTAGAGTTAATATATTTCTGTAACATAAGCTGTCTCATTTAGAAGTCTGTGTCCTCTGATGGTAATGTTTGTCAGAGGATGACAGAAAAGCATTGACTGTTAATTCTTGTGTGGCGTAAATTATTGTAATGTCTTTCTTACTTTGCAATATTATGGTTACTTTTCTGAAATGAGGCAGACTCAATGGCATATTATGTGGCCAACAAATGCAACCTCTGGAGGGTGCAGCCTTTGAAATGAGACTGCAGTAGCCTCATGTCTTTACTCGAACACACATGTAGTAACACACAATTGCTTGCAGCCTTTTCCAGAATTAAATTTAATGTGCTAATATTGTTATTGATAAACACCTTTTAACATTTTTTTTTTTTTACAAAACAAATGTATATCAGCATATAGTGCATACAAGATGGAACATATGTATTTTTAATACATACGTCTCACTTCACTAATGTCAGGAATGCGATCTCACAATGAATCCCTGATGTTTTTTAAACTTTTAAGCAATATTTACATTAAGATTTCACTGTACTGTGCTTTTCAGCATGCCTTGCCGCTGTGGCCAGTGAGAACATGAACACTGCTAGTCTGACGGACATCACTGAGAGACACTGAGCTGGACCCCCGGAAAGAGCACTGGGGTGTTCATGAAGGATAGGGTGTCTAGAAAGATCTAACCAGAAGAGGGAGCTCAAGTGACGTTAAAGAGCAAAAGCCGCTAATCACAACTCCTTCAGATCCAAACTCTCAAAATCTGACGGACTTTTGTGGTTTGGTGGTCAGTTTAAAACGAAGAGATGGATATCATGACTGTTGCATAGCTCAGTGTAAAGTCCATGATCAATGCCCAAAATAAATGCAACAAATGTCTTGGTTATGTAAAGGCATTAATCTCCTTTTGGACAACAGTTGAAAGTGTCTGCCTAGGATTTTTTTTTTTTCAATGTAAAACACCTTTTATGTAAATAACGTTATCCAAGAAGAACGGACTTGGAACATCCCATGGTTCCTATCATTAGCATAAGGCTAAGAGGCTGGCAGTGCTAATTGCTGGGGCAGAGCCTCTGTTAAACAGTGGCAGCAGATTGCTGCTTATTCAGGAAGCATAGCAATAAGTTTATCGTGCAATATGAGCTAAAAAATATGCAACTACATTAAAGTGCCTACACTATTCTTGCATAGACATTTTGAGCATAGCTAGACGTTATTATGTTTTTGCCTGAGTAAGTAAGTATTAGGAGGACTAGAAGACAAGGCCTAATCCTCTAGGTGAGAAAGTTCAGACTCACAGATGGAGTTTAGATTTCAGACTGGGTTAAGAGGTAAACAGTCTTCAACAATTCCCCTTTTGCTCACTTATAGGGGATAAATAAAAAGTCTACTTAAAAGTAAAGATAAAAACCTCAAAAACAGAGTGAGATCCTGTAAGGCACATACACCAACAGTTTTCAAAAAACAAACAACTCCCATGGAAAACGTGAAGAGGACATGGAAATTCATCTCCGACAGGACAGGAGGAGGGTGCAATTACAAGGTGAGGTCCAGACAAATGTATGTGAGGGGAGAACAGTTACAACTAAGAAATGTGATGTCTGAGCAAGAAAACATATAACTTCTGTTTCTTCTGCTATGATGGCTGAGTCTCAGAGGAGCTTCTGGGAAGCATCTCCTCACATACAGCATCAGACAGGGAAAACACTCAATAACGGATGGAAAACAGGTCTTTGCTATTCCAAAAAGCAGTGCGAGGAGTCCTCTGCTGACGCTCACAGCTCTGATTTCTCTGTAAGAGGCTGTATTTCAGAAGGATCATCCTGAGGGAAGACCACATAAAACAACCTCTGCCCCAGATAGGTGACTCTCTCTGAAACACATGTACATTTACAGATGTCAGATGGCTTTTCATTGCAGAGTGCTAACAAAACAATGCAAAGCAGTTTTGGCTGGTCTTGCTCACCCACAGCACTGGAAATCCAGTGTGGTTTGTTTTTCCACTGCACTCCAATGAAGTAGATGGGTACTCCAGTGAGCATGATCACCAGCCCCATACCACACACCACTGGCTCCGAGTACAGACT